TTTTAAAGTGTAAAGCCCAATGGACTACTGCAAAAGAGGTCATTTCTTTATTTTGCATGTAAAACTGTCTGCCAATCATTTTAGTTACCGGCGAAAGAAGGATATTTGACAAAACATCAGAAGGTATTTTATAATATTGCCTATAATCGTCCTAAATGTGATGCCTGATTACTGAAAACATTGTTTTGGTGTCATTATTCAGTTACAGAAAACTTTAAAGTTTCACAGACTTTTTCTATCACTGCAGAAATACAATTGTGTGTATTTTTATGTCATGATTGTTTGATTCAGATAATAGCAGCTGCAGACGTTTAAAACCCAGGTGATACAGTTTTACTCAGCCGTGCGTGGTCTCTTTTTGGCAGATGATGCACTTTTTAATACAACACCTGTTGCAAGCCGATATGTTGTAGACACAAAGCTTTTAAGGTTTATTTTTACCGGAGGTGTAGTCGATGTATTCATGTAAATGTTAGTTGGCACGACTGTTGCTGCTTTTAAATGTGCAGCGTGTAAACAAATAAACTGTCCTGAATAATCTGTACATGGTGATCTTGTATAAATGCTTTGGTCTTTCAAAAAAAACTGTTAAAAAAAAAAAAACGAAACCAACCAAACAAAAAAACTCCTGCCACATGTCAGGAATTGCATTCAAACTCCAAAGAGTAGTGATGGACAGGACAAGTTGCTGTCCTTTGTGACACCAACAGAGATTGAGGGATTCTGATATGTTTAAATCTTACAAACGAGCTCTTTTACCTTTAAAAAATGTGAATATACTTTTTTGCATGTCTTCTTTTTTCGACAGCAGCTGCAGTAGAGAGTGAAAGGAAACACAGTGGAGAAAGAGGGTATTATTCAGAAAAGGACCACAACCGTAAACTTAAACATTTGATTGTAATCTTCAACCTGTGCATTGAAAACTTTGTTGTCTCATTTTCCCCTTTACCATTTCTTACAGGTTTTATTGTGTCTGCTGGTGTTTGTATTTGACACAGGCCTCACCTACCTCGTTGGAGATTCTAGTCTTGTCATGGATGAAAAGCGGTAAGCTGTATACAGTTCAGTGCATGTAAATGTCACCACAGAAAGCTTTAGAATCTCTTTTTTAGTGTTCTGTACCTACTTCATATTTACCTCCGCCAAGGAGGTTATGTTTAAGCCAGCGTTTATCTGTTTGTTTGTTTGTTAGCAAAAAGCTACGAACGGATTTTCAGGAAACGTTGATAATGGCACAATGAACAGATGATTACATTTTGGTGATGTTCTGGATTACCATCTGGTTATTCTCTCATAAAACAGTAAATGCTGTTCAGTGTCACAGTCGCGCAGAATGCTGTTGTTGTGCCGTTTGTCCAGTAGATGGAGCTCTGACTCCATTCAGTCCTCTGTCCTCACCGCTGTCTTGTCAGTAGTACAGGAGTGAGCTACAGCCAGGCAGCATCACAGGAGTGGACTGAGTGGAGCTACTGACAGATAAGTTCATAACCACGTCGTGACATTAACAATGACTCAGCATGTCTCCTGTTTCGCTTTAACTCTCTTTGTCATGTGTCATGATGACTGATGCGTGCTCCGTTGCGTCGGTCATGTTTTTCATCTACGTTGCATTGCTAAAGTTGTGCTAACCTAGCTTAAGTTACTCCCTGTCTGTTTATGGTAGCAATAACATAGCTAGCTAGCATAGCGTTAGCTAGCAGCTTAAAAGCCAGTAAGGAACTGCAGAAATAACATAAGTGTACAAAATATTTGAGAGTACAGAACGACCGTTCATCACTCCATCAGCTTGTTATTGATGATATCAATGTTAATTCAAATGCTAAAGGTATGTTTTGATTCTCCATGAATCTAATAGTGTAGATAAAATGAATGCAGGACTTTAATATTGGCTGGAAATCACAATATGGTGGAAATGAGCTGCTTGGCGGAGGTCTGCGCCCTCAGAGTCCTCTTCTACTTAAACATTGTTTACATTTGGTCATGTTAGGCAGCGCATAAATCTAGGCATTGCATAGGCTAATGTGATTTTAGCTTCTCACCAGTCTCAGCCATCTAACTGTCTTTCCTCTGTCGCCTTTTTTAGAATTTGGTCACTTCTTAATACATGAGCACTGGACTTTTCATACACACAATGGAACCGTTGGTGCTTTGGGATTTGTAAAAATGAATGAGAATTTTTCCTATGATATTTACATTTATTATTGTATTTCATCCACAATCAATTGCAAGCCTTCTTTTTTACCCATTGTCATACAACAGATGTGATGATTGTGTGACTGTTTGATAGAAGCTTCCAAGTATTTCATCTGCAAGTCAATATAGGTGGAACAAATATTGTTGTCTCACTGCTGAAATGTGTCTGTTTCTGTCTTTTGTCCTGATACTGAAACTGTATTGCAGAGTGGTGGTTTCTTCTACATATGATTCATTGAAGCTCAGTTGAACAACAAAGGTTGTGAGTTTATCTTTTTGTGAAGGAGTCATGCTCAACACTGCATCAAACTAACGTTTGCTTTATTTCTGTTTTGTGGCTGCAGAAAGGATCTCGATCAGTTCACAACGATGTGAAGCAGAAACGGTGACAACACAAACATTACATCCATGTGAGACGCTCCTAGTATTGAGCAAAATCTTCTGTCGAGTCTGGACTCAGTTTGTCTTGATCGTCCAAGGCAAGTTTTTCACATTTATTCACGTTTCTTTTCAGGCAGCAATATGAAAACTGTTAGTGGTGCTTGACAATGGTTGTCTGAAGATTCTGAAGTTCCAATCTTAGCCACCACAAAGGTAACCACGAATATTCACAGTAAAATGGACCAACAAGCACAGGTAATCCTACACCATAGCATACATAAATGCCAAAAAAAAAGAAGCAAAAACATTCCTCAGATGCCAGCCATTAATACTGGAGGTGTTGAGTGTCATTGAGGATTTTGAGTTGCAGAGCACATTAAGATCTCACAAGAACAGATAGTTGTGTTATAGTTATGTGTTTGTAATAAAATGCTGTCATACTTCATATGGTTGTGCTGTATTTATCACAGCGATAGACTATAATTGGGTTTACAGTCCCTATCTGTTGTTTTAAAATAGTTTACTGTAAACAGGTTGATGATTCTGCTGTTAGGTTTAAAATAAATTACCATAAACAGGTTTACAATACATCTGTTTTTTTCCACAGTAATTTACCTCAAACAGTTATAAACTATGTAATTTACAGGTTGCCAAAAAAAAGCATAGAATGATCACATCTTATACATTTCACCACATTTTAACGGTTCAATTCTGGCGACGGCGGCTGCTGGTATTTTACTGTAAATTCACCTGTTTTTTTCATTTCCTTATTTTTTTTTGTTTTTACAGTGTAGTTATAAGACTGAATATTGACTTGTTCTACATATAGAAGGATCTGTGTCATATCAGTATTTTTCTACTTACAATTGAATCCTGTACAATATAGATTTTTTTTCCACAGTTAGAGGAATCTGTGCAATAAGTACATTTTCTGCATACAAAAGAGTCTGCACGTCAACAGAACTTGTGCAGATTTCTTATTTATTAATATATATATTTTACTGGTGTTCCTACATTTCAGCACAGGTGTCTTTGCTGCTGCAACACTGCACATTTCCCCACTGTGGGATCAGTAAAGGTTGATCTTATGTTGTCTTTTCATAAATTCTCCTCATTGGAAAGAAAAGCAGATCAACTGTGTTTTTGTGCTTCAACATGCAGTTTGATCCAGAAGTCAGGCAGTAAAAAGGAAGAGAGCAGAGTGAAAAAAATGAACAAGGAAGAAGGTAAATGGATGGAGGAGAAGAAGAAGAGCTGGATGGCACACACACACACACACACACACACACACACACACACACACACACACACACACACACAGGCACACACACGGAGGTGATGTGACGTCAAACCGGAGCGCAGCTGACTCGTCGCTCGCGCTGCTTCTTGCTGACCAGACTCGCGCTCTCTGCAAACCGTCTCCACGCGGCCGCCGCTGCTGCACGTTCAGCAGACACCGGAGAGGAGGAGACCAACAAGAACCGGGAGGTCTCCCGCGGAGCGACGGCTCACCGGAGGAGGAGGAGGGGGAGGAGGAAGGAGGCTCCGTTCTCATCCTCAGCGCGCAGGACGGTATTTACCGGACGCTCTCCGCGGAGACAGAGCACCGGGCACCGGGAGCACCGTGCGCCTCATCCAGGTGTTGCATCTAGACCTCCGGTACCGATGGAGCGGCGAGAGGAGGAGGGCTGAGGAGCTCGCGCACTCGACCCCGTCTGCAGAGCTTCACGTGCAACAACAAGTTGACAATTTAGAATCTTCTCCGCCTCGAGACCTCCGGTTTTGTTTTTCATCTTTTGGCAAAGAACCGGATTTTACGCTTTTCTGTTTACTGCGGACCTCCACGGATTATTTTTTTTATTTTTATTTTTTTTAAATTTTTGGAGCATCTTGTCAACAGAAAACGGGATTTTTTTGGGGAGAAAACAATGTCAAAGTGATCGGATCCACCCGTGCCAACGACGCACGAACCGTTTCCCGTGGTTCGGTTGAAGATCCTGACACCGTCTCCTCCACGCCAAACCTCCGCCTTGTTTTCCTCCGTCGCGGCGGCACCCCGATGCTGTGGTCGGTCGGCGCACGGTGGCTCGAGCTGCTGCCGGTGATTTCTCAGCGGCGGCGATGATGATGATGACGGCAGGCTGCGCCGTTAATCCCGGAGATGCTTTTCCACTCGAGTAGGATTTACGCGCTGCTTCTTCAGTGGAATCGTTCGCGTGACAATGACCTCCAGCCGCGCTTTCCCCCGTGCCGTGCCCGCCGCAACCCGAGACAGAGGCACGCGCCCCCGGTTCGATGCGCACGAGAGGACGTCGTCCCCCCAAAATCGCTGAGCTAACGGACAGGGAGGGAAAACACAAAGCGGACTCAACCGACTGGAACAGAAGACGACCGAAGCCGGACAGCGGCGACCAGCGGCGGCGGTGATGGAGCTGTCCGAGGTCCGGTGCTCCAGCGCCAGCGAGGAGCTCTACACCATCAACAAGACCCCGAGCAGCAACAACAGCAACAGCAGCGGCAGCGCGCGTCCCAAACGGCTGCTGTGGCAGAACGCGGTGCGGCACATCACCGAGCAGCGGTTTATCCACGAGCAGGGCGGGGGAGGCGGAGGAGGGGTGAAGGGCATCGGGCCGGACGAGCCCTACGACCCGAGCGAGGCCGGGAGGAAGCAGTCTGCGGGCCGGACGTCGGTGGGAGACCGGCACAACAACGGCGGAACCAAAGTGTTCCCGGAGCGCGCCAGCAGCGACCTGGGCTTCCTGCAGATCGACTGCGCGCCGAGCAACTCGGACTTCTTTCTGAACTGGGGCTACACGTACCGGGGCGTCATCTTCCCCACGCTGCGCAACGCCTTCAAGTCCCGGGACCTGGAGCGGCTGTACCAGCGCTACTTTCTGGGCCAGAGGCGCAAGTCGGTGGTGGTGATGAACATCCTGGACGTGGTGACCAAGCTGACCCTGCTGGTGCTGCACCTCACGCTGGCCTCCACCCCGATGGACCCGATCAAAGGAACGCTGTTGGGCTTCTTCACGGGCATCGAGGTCGTCATTTGTGCCTTAGTGGTGGTGCGGAAGGACACCACGTCGCACAGCTACCTGCAGTACAGCGGCGTGGTCACCTGGGTGGCCATGGCCACGCAGATCCTGGCGGCCGGGCTGGGCTACGGGCTGCTGGGGGACGGGGTGGGATACGTGCTCTTCACCCTGTTCGCCACCTACAGCATGCTGCCGCTGCCGCTCACCTGGGCCATCCTGGCGGGCCTGTTCACCTCCGGGCTGCACATCCTGGTCCAGCTGCTCATCTCCCAGAATGCGCAGCTCTCCACCAACCAGGTGAGCGTTAACCTCCTCGTCCACACCTGCCTTCCTGTTTACGCATCTTCTCTTCAGGTGTATCCCACAGACTTGTGTTTACTGGCTTCTACAGCTTCCTGTTGTTTCCGTACATGTTTGCTTTACGTGTGATCCAGATCTAGACACACTGGAGACCAGTTTGTGTGCAGCTGGGAACCATTTCTCCCAGTCAGACTCTCTGTGAGCGAACAGGTGTGAATCTGTTGATCGACCTGAGCTCTGAGCGGCTCCGTGTCAGCGCCGCTTCAGGTGTTTTTTTTTTTCTTTTCTTTTTTTCTGTGTGTGTGTGCAGGTTTTAATAATGAAATGCGGCAGTTTGTTTGTGACAGCAGCCTGCTCTGACTGCTGAGTGCTGAGCTTTCAGCACCAGGAGCTGTCTGACACACAAACACACACTGACACACACACACCTACACATGCACACATCCAGAGGAGGTCCTGAAATGCAGCACTGCTCCAAACAGGTTCAGCTCCCCCTTCTGGTCAACATTATAATCCCAAATCAGACTCTTTCTTTATTCCTTTGGATTATTTGCGGATGTTAGTACAGGAGAGGTGAAATTTACACTCATCTCAATCTTTTTTTTTTCATCTAATCTTTAATGTAAGGCTGTTTTCAAGCACATCAGATGAACGGATCCCATCGTAAACAGTCCTGAACATGCTGATGAGGAGTTTGAAACAAACCATCTGGTGTCACCAGACCAGGGTTAAAACTAACAATTATTTTCTTGGCGAACTGATTCATTTTTTAGTCTCTAAAATGTCAGTAAGGGGACGATAATGTCAGTTTTCCTCAAAGCCCAAGCTGACAAATGTCTTGTTTTGTCCACAGCTCAAAGTCGTTCCTTTTATTGTCATAGAGGAGGAAAGAAAACAGAAACTATTCACAGTAAAAAAAAGCTGCATTTTTACATTACTCAGTTAACAGATTATCAAAACGATAGTTGAAACTAAGCCGTGAATCGTTGCAGCTCTGGACCAGACGGAGAGAAGAAGCCTTAAAAATCACCCCAAAAATCTCAGAACATGAGCTGGGAAAGCTTTTGAATCAATAAATGTGTGTTTCAGTCGGCTGTATGTGAAGGACTGCACTGATGATCATCTGATGTGGACGTAAGCAGCTCAGGCTTCAGACGATCTTCACATCCAGCTGGAAGGAGAATCTGAAGTAGTTCAGTTGCTGCTACGTTTCTGGTCGTCTGTCGATTTGGTGGTGAAAGATTGATCATTAGCACTCTGTCGTTGAAATGAACTGAGCTGTTCCCTCTTTTCTCTTGTCTCTTGTGTGGAATCTTTGAATTTAGAAAACTGTCAGTTTGTGGCTGGAAGTTACTCACGGATGAGTTGTTTTGTAGAAATGCATGAATCTGCAGTCTGTTGATTTTGCAAAAGAAAGTAGTTCCTTGATTTGTGGAGGCTGAGTGAGAACTTTTTCAGTTCAGGGCTCAGTTTGGATGAAATAAACTGATGTGAAGCAGCCGGAGGAGTTTCGGTTGTCTGGTCTAGTGATCCACATGGGAGCCGCTGCAGAAAGCGACGACAACGACGTGCTGAAATGACATTATTGCAAATTAACAAAACTGATTTTTGATTAAACCATGTGTAAAAAGGCTTTTCCTCCCGGTGAAGCAGCGTTTTTTTCTTGTTGTGTTCTGAAGGAATCAGAAAACCGCTGTGTTCACGCCAGCAACGCAAATGCCCATCTGTCACAGGCTTTGGTTTCATTGTTAATTTCTACACATCACTACGAGTCTTTTGCTTTCAATGAGCTACTGGTTTACAAATCGTCCTTCACATCTTTTAATGCATCCTGGAACTGTTGGTTTTAATCCATCAGCAGAACTTAAAGTGAGTCTTTTCTTGGTTTGTGTAGCTGAGAAGCAGATCAAGGACAAACCTGACAGCAGCAGAAAGTGTGTCGCTGTGCAGCAGATGTTTGATGGAAAACTCTCACCTGAAGTGGATTATTCAGTCTGTTTTGCTTTTAACTCCGCCGATTTTTCTTTCTCGAGGTGAGAGTCGCACGATCTCGAGTGCCGCGCAGATCTCATTACTGAATTAAACTCTTCACGTCGGCGGTTGGACCGAACGAACGTGTTTGTTTCACCGTCGGCTGTTTTCATTTCTGGCTGTTTGCAGGTTTCCCAGAGTAATTCGAGAGTGGTTGGATTTGCATCATAACGCTGAAGACGTTTGTAGGGTTTATAGATCACAAATCTAGACGATGCAGAGACATAAAATGAGACTGAAAGCAACAAGTAAATGTGTGTAGATCTGGAGCCGGTTTGACAGGATAGCACTGGTTTATTTCCATTTCTGTTGTCTCTGTAGGTCATACTAACTCTGCACTTTGCACAAAACTGTGTACATTTGGGTAAACAGTGTGAACTCCCTGCAGATTTGTTAAAAACAGACTGTAAATGACTCAGTTTAAACGTTTGTTTTCCATTTGGCTGAAGGGAGATGCAGAAATTAGCACCATTAGCTATGGAGAGATACTTTCCGTATGACCTAGTTAACGCCGGTTTAGGATTTAACGTGCTTCTCCTGCATATTCCTTTTCTGTGTAGATTCTCAGTAATCCAAAGAGTTTCAGTCGGGGGCAGCTGGACTTCTCTTCTTCCATTGAAGTAGCTTCTTGAATGAAGATGAAGCATCTTTTAAGAACCAAAAACAAACGTCCAGCAGACTTTTGCTGATGTTTTGAGCATGTTCTTTGTTAAAATCAGCTGAAATCTATCAGTTCTGATGTTACAGATGCAAGGAGTCAGCCTCAGTTTGGTCGTGAAGTATTTGTAGGTTCAGTGAGTAAAGCAAAGTCCTCTTGTTAAAATGAGATCATTCACATTCTGAAGTCGCATGTGGCTCAGTTGGGTGCATTAGTCCAATGATCAGACCTAAAGGTGAGCATCTTTCCAACTATTAGTGTTACTTGTTGGTTGGTTACACATAAAAAAGATCAGCCAATCAACACTAAAGGGTAAATGTTCGAAAAGTTCTCCTTTACATAATTTCAGCATCAACATTGCAGTAAGTGTGTACCCAGTAGTCACACTGTCCGAATTATCTCAAACATTTCATGCTGCATTCTGCTTTTTTGCTGCTTGATGCAAAAAGGAAACTCACGTGCTTCTCATTTTCCATGACTAATGTGCAGGGGAAGAGTGTCATTTATGCCCATTTAGCAATTCTTGGAGTTTTTAAAATGTCTCTTTAAAAGTTTGTTTAAATGCAGGCCTCTCATGAACACACACAAAGAGAAACTCTGAAAAGGAGGATATGGTGGCAAAAACACATCAGTTGTGTGGAAATATTTTGGCCACAGAACCAATTAGTTTATTTAAATCAGCAGCAAAAAGCCAGATCTGAATGTCATGCAAAGCAAAAATAATATTTTATACATCTTTACCACTGTGACACCACATGAGAAAGATTCCAACCAACCAGCCTTCTTAAAATGTATTTTCTATGCAGATGCACTGCTCTTCAGAACCTCTCCAATCATCCTAAAATGATGAATTCTTCATCCACAGAGAGTTAAATCAAGTCATGTGCTTAAAATTCCTGTCACTGCCAGTTTTTTTGCAATGTCATGCAGCCCTACTGTCAACGAAACATTTAAAAAAACAAACGAAAAAGTTTGGAGTTTGTGTTTTTATACATTTTGAAAATAAGTTTGACATTTTTACTCCAGTTGTGCATCTGTTCCATATATCGTTTGTTATTTATTACCAATAATCAGCATCAGCCCTGAGGAAACAAACATTATTTGACTGTTAATTTTCAGATTTGCTAATGTTAATCTACAATATTCATGTTAAAGTTGTGGATTTTTGGCCTGTTGGTTCCATTGGCACTATTAGCCCTTTGCTTTGGTGCTTGTGTGCTTTTTCATTTCACATTTGTTTTTTTTTCAGTCCAAAAAATAGAACTGCAACAACTTGTCAACTACAAAACGATCGATGGTTCCAGCTGTTCAATTCTGTGGATTTGCTGCTTTTTTTGTGTTTTATGTCATTATGAGCTGGAAATCTTTGGACTGTAAGCTAGGCTAAACAAGATGTTTAAAGTCTCAGACAATCTACTGACGTTTTGCAGAGTGAATCTGTACAATTTGAGGATAAAAGCCACAGATTTTTCAGATTTACTCATGGTGCTATCTACATGTGCGTTCAGTATATTTAGAGATTTTATTTAAGAGCAACATCGTGAGCAGAAAATCTGTGTCATCTCGTGCAAATCAGAGGTTTTTGAGTCACGACTTATTTTCAGCACATTAGTTGACGCAGCTCCGAGTCATGCATGTTCAGAGACATGCAGGAAACTCCAAACACACGCTGCAGCCTGCACGCTGCAGAAAAGCACTGAGCGCGCCCAGTGCCGCCGGTGTCAGGCCCAATCCCATCATGCTTCACTCTGAGGTTTGAGCTGACGCCGCTGACCCAGTGTGGCCGGACAGATGTGTGCGGATGTGTGTGCTGCACTGTGTGGTCTCTGTTGTGTAGCTCAGGGGGGATTTCCCAGCTTGTGGTTCAGCTGTGTCACTTCGCTCACAGCCACAGAACCGTCGAGCTTTTCTTCAGAAGGGTTGGAGGCTGCTGTTGGCTGGATCCAGATCTGTATGATGCACCGATAAAACCTCGGATATCTGATTGATTAAACACTGACCGAGACCCTAAAGCCTTTCCATGCAGCTGTGCTATAACACTTTGGTTTGATCTGTTGTTGATTTCAAACATATTGATTAGTTTGACTTCATGCAGAAAGCAGCATCCATCAGTTCATTTTCTTCTGCTGATCCAGAGTCAGACCATGTTTCAGCAGAATCTACTGTGTTTAGTAGATCAGGGTTCCTCATGTAGGCTATGGGGTTCTTTCATTTTATTTGTATTCCTCGGCAGGTAAACCATGAAATCAGAGCTGTGACTGTAGTCAGTATTGATTATTCTGCGCCTTATTTTCTCAGTTAATCGTCA